GTTTCATTCGTGCGTTAAACTCCCACACGAAGTAGTTGTCTTCGCGGAGTATGTCGCTTGCATCATTGGTTGTTGGGCTCATAACCTCTCAAATTTCGAGAGTGGAGAGAATCAGAAGGAGACTGTTGTCGGAGAGTGGAAAATGGAAAGTGATTGACTCCTACTTATGCTGTCTGGAATGACTGGTTGCTACGTGAACTTGAGCCTAACCTTCTATAACCTCAACCTGATGTTGGTTCTGGTCTGGTTGTACCTCAACCTGATACTGTTTTATGATCCTTGATCACGTCATAGTGACGAACCTTGCTGACTTCAGGATGACGAACTTTGCTGACTTCAACACTGTTCAGATGAAGAGACCGACATGTCTCTGTCTTTAGAAGTGGGTGGCGTAAGCCAGTCACTTCTGCTGGGTACTTTCCACGAAAGATGAATTCAAGCTTTAGAAGTCCAAGCTCCGTACACCCAAGATCTTGCATCAGATGAATCTAAAGTTTAACCTCAGTACACCCTTGCTATATAAGTCAGTAAACCAAGGTCGTATTAGTGAAACCTCTTGGGGCCCCTAAGGGCTTTTGCATGTGTCTAGGTAACTCATTCCAATTCAGCTACAAATATACTTTCAAGGTATCAAGTCCTTTCTTTTCCCTTCATGTCGGGACTGTCCTTCTCCCCCCACGTCAGAAATTGCTCCCTCGTAGCACACGCGTGTGTGTTCTATTTTCTGCGGGCCTAGTTATAAACAGCACCCTCTTACAGATAAGGTATAAACCTGATCGTCATCATATTGTGATGGGAGCTCTTTTGAGCCGCCCCGGCCTTAAATATCGCGCAAGTCACAATTGTAACGTCAACAATTGATAATGTTAGACGAGTCAGACGCCACTTGTGTTGCATCTCTGTTTTTTCGAAGAAAGGAGCTTAGAGCTTGATTGTTGCTTCACCAAAGCGTTCAGCTCAATATTTGCATCGCTAGTCCTTGTTTCAACGCTTGTTGTATCAAAGCACTAACCTACATGATACTCAGCGTATAGTGGAGATTGATGACGAGAATCCAAAGTTCGAAATGCACTACAAGGCACATGATATCACTTTCGGGTGGCCGACTCGGGCAGGAAAAGCATCACCGCTTGGCGAGCTATACGAAGCGGCGGCTAGACGTGTATAAGTAGTAAGCACATATGCGTGTTGGTAGGCATACCCATCGCCGCATGCGCTGGAATCTTTTATCAGCCTGTCGGTCTGGGCGGTGTTGGAAAATCATTGAAACAGATTTTATCTTTGGTAAATTGAATGGTAGTGTCTGATCATACCGGCATTGTTGTCCTCGTAGTCTCACTAAGCTTGATGGCTCGCCTTGCTACTGTCAACGATAGTGCAATCGATTAAAACATTCCCCGCTTATTGTTTCAACAATTTAGCTTGCTAAGAGCAATGTTAATAGATAAAGATTTGCGCTCTATAGCAGTTTAATGGCGAGCATTGTTCGCGGTTGTACGCTTAAGATTAAACATGTCAGCTGGTAACTATCTTTTACCAGATGGTAAGTCTGAGCGCAAAATCGCGATCTAGAAGATATACCTTATCACTTGCGCAGAGTAGCAGCGGTGCTGAGGCGTGTTCCTTCGACGAATTTCGCATTTGACTGAAAAATGCAGATCAGGTCTCGGCGGGCTATACCTAATTTTGATAAATGGTTTGGCAGACACTGATACCACCACATGTAGATCAGATTATCTTGAGGGAGGGGTTGCTGATCTTGTTACGCCTTGCTGATATCAGCGCGGCTATACTTTGTAGCAAAAGCAGTGATTCTATTTCAATAGTATTGTGTGTCATTCGCAGGGTGCGTGACGCTTTGGTTGAGAGCCAGGATCCAAAAGAAGCACGCTGATGCCAAAGGCAGGGGAGAACCCAGACGAAAAGATGTGGGAAAACGTATTACGTTGATGACAAAATGCCTGACTACACATGCAGTGTATACAATTTACCTCACACGGTGGTAGCAAAAATGCTTATACACTTCAAATCCCATAAATAATGCAAGCATAAAAGTGTTTGACGTGGTTTAACTGAAGACGTACCCTTTTACCGTTTTCGCGATTTAGCCAGCTTTGATGCACTATGATGTCGATGTAGCATCGTTTGCACCATCCTCTGTAGTAGAGCTAATGTCTGCTCTAAAGTAACGACGTAAGCATGAGTGCCTCAAGCAAGGCAGTGCGTCGAATATACACATGGGCAAAATCCAAGATCCTGTTCATCACAGGTTTGGACGCACGTAGCGACTTTCGGGGAGAGCCGGTGTACCTCCAAAAGCGAAATAGATCATTGCTGGTAGCATAGGGGTCGACTTCTGTCGGCACTGCTTAGTGGGCAAGCGGAGGCCCACTTTCACATGGAACGTTCGGTGGGCTGACTGGTAAAGCAGGGCTTGTAAATGTATCTGGTGGTGTTAAAGAATACTAACATTCGAAAGCAAATCGAAGTCAATACACCACTCTCGCTAATTGCGTTGACTTCTAGGGCTCTAAAGATCTGGCAAACCCTCTGCCTTTATATTTATATGAAGAAAAAGGTCTGTCTTAGCGCGTTTTCCACCTGTGAGTGCGAACCGAAATTGTACTGTACGATCCTTAGTCGATCGCTTTTACTGTAGTTTCGCGGGGACGATTGGGACTGCAACAGCTCAGGCTAGATGCGATGGGGTTCTCCTCGACGCCCGCGTCGATATTTCGATTTCGCAGAGTCAGACATGAGGTTGTGCTCAAGCCAAGCGTCTGCTTCACTGAAACTGGCTTATGCAAACTTAAGGCAGGTAAGACAGTGTGTTTTCTCTACATTGTGCTCGCATACTCAGCGACACTCTCGCTAGCTTCATCTAATTAAGGAACATCCTCATACAGGTAAGCCTTTTCCAAACCGCTGTTGCTCCACACAGGCGTTTTTTTGAATGATGAACTATTAGCTGAGAAAGCGCTCGTTTTGCTCTTCATGTGAGTGGACGGTGTACAAGCATCCGCGTGTATGATTGTCGAATCTCTGCAACAATCGACTCCAGACTGTATTTTTTTTTTGCGGCAATATGATTTGAGCAAGAGTCGGCCGGACTATCGCGCTTGCTGGAAAGCATGTCGGGCTCTTTGAGTCAGATTTAGTTCATCGGTGACGAGTTGAGCATCGTCGTGAGTCCAACGGCATAAGATCCCATCACATCCCACCAATTATAGAGGAAACTGAGAACAAAACTCGCTTAGAGGGGAAGCTGAAGGCCATGATCCCCTTCTCCTCTTTGAACTGCCAGGTCGTATGACTTCGGGTGAGAGTGGAAGTGATTCGTCTTGTCTCGGAAAGTCACTACAGTCATTTCGATAGGAGAACATCTCAAGATCCCCACAGTGTCGGTTGCGATAACAGCGCCATTTCTCGGGCCATTTTGTTCGCGGGGATCCTTCAGTGGAAGAATGTTTCGAGGAACCGGTACGGTAAAGTGCAAAGAGTGTACTTAGACGTACTGCCGAGGACCAGGTATGGTAGAGTGTATGGACAGAGCGGTTGTTTGCGAATTGTCGTAAAATTCACAGAGATGTGGGCCGCGCTGGGGCTCGCAATTGTTCTAATGCCAATTATTTCGATTGCGTGCCCCAGCGCAGTCCACATGTTAGTGGGAGAGAATGTTTTTGCAAGTACTGTAATCTTGTGAGCTCACAGCTTACACATGAAATTCACATTGTATTTTGGTTTGATTGTGAGGTAATTAGTACCGATGTATTTATAAAGATGATTGACAGGAGAGGTCTGTTGCAGCTAGTCGCACATTAGACAATCAAGATAGTTTTGGGATGCGATAGAAAGCGTATATATAGCATTGATTTAAATAATGAAATTCATGTATTCTTAGTCACGGTAGAGGCTCGACCTCTGGTAGAATCATACGAACCCCGACTTCTGTGCGTTGTTAGCGCGGACTCCTTAAGACAAAGCATAGTCGAATGAATTTTAGGTGATTAGATTTGTTGCTACACTTCTGTGAGATATACGAACTTAATCTCTGTGCATATATTACTGTGGACTCGTTAGATAAAACTTTCTCGTTGCAGATGCACGGCAACCCTGTTGCATACCTGGTAAATAGAAGAATCGACTTGGGGTAGACAGGAACTGAGCGAAATAAAGATCAAAAATATTGACACTTCATAAATTGCCTACTACTGCGAAAACCTTTACATATTTTTCATTTCTTTCCGCACAATTAAAACACTTCGCAACGTACCCAACATATGAACCCTGTTGAGACGCACAATGTGACGATATTGTCCCGCTCTAAATCTAAAACAACTAACTACCTTTACTTTTATTACGCTATGAAGACTAGCGCAATATCTTTGGATCTTAATTTGTATAGTACATGGATGGAGAATAGAACTTTTTTTCGAGTAATTTTGCCGTTTCCTAACTTGACATGAAATCGATGTTCATGTAGAGAAAGTCTTCGCGGGGCTAGCAAAGCTGCTTTTAAATCTATTTTGAGATTGTGCGATGGGTGTTGTAGTATTCATGGCAGTGTCCACCTCATTCATGGCAGTGTCCACCTCAGTTATGAATTGACGTGGTGATGAATTACTTGATTCTGTGCAGATAAATGTTGAAGCGTTGACATTAAATCAGACTGCAGGAAACAAATTGATAAGGAGAGAATCAAGTGCACCTATCATCCGCTTGAGGTATCGGGGCTTGTAGATCAGTTTAAGAACAGTCGACGGTCAAAATTGTGTCAGGTAATTGTTATTCCAACGACTAGTTCTTTGCGAAAAGTGTCAGGAAAACGGCGATATTTGCTTTCAGATTTTTTTATAATTTCTTGTACTAGGTAGTGATGCTGACAGCGATACATAAAGTTGTAAGATGTTTGATAAAAAAGTCGTTTCATGCATCACGGCATGTGCACTTTATAAAGCTTTACAGGGTATGCGCAATATTCATTCAACTCACCACACTATAGAGTACGATGTCTGTTTGTTATTCATCTACTCTCGCACGTACTTGAAGTACCGGACCCCTTTACAAGTCTATAGAGAAGAGCAATTTATGGCTTGACAAACTTTCATGACAAGCTCCAAATTTTAGAAACCAAAAGCATCGGTGCAAAGCTCACTTTGGCCATAATCTATTGTCTTTATCTCTCACAATTTTTACATTAGCGGCTCGCTTATAACAATAAAAAAGAAATTTGTTGAACACTCCACAAAATAACAACAGATGATTCTATTGTACTAAGAAATATGTAAATCACGTCATCCTTTTGACTTTGCTGGCCATCCAATGCTATCAGAAAATCACTGACGACTTTGGCACCCTAGACGTGGCGCGGAATTACAGGTTTAAGTTTTACTATAATTTATAATTCATATTTCGCAAGGATCTTTTCATTTTAGTAACAAAAAGAGCTTTTCCGACCATCAGGATGATTCCAGTGCGTCGTCCAACTTTCTGGACTGTGAAATGAATCAACTCAGAACTACATACTTACCATACTATCGATTTAAGTGGAATGAGTCTCAGATGCTCTAAAGTTACACCTCTTTTACAATAAAATTCTCAAAACCTTACGCTATTGCTTCAGTCATCCAGAAAGTTTATGAAAACATAGTCGTCCAGCTGGTTGAAAAAGCACTTTCTTTCGCAACTTGCTGGTCAGATGGACAAACAATATGCCGCTCTTGGGGCGCCGAATCCGTACTATAGCACACTTGTACGTCTCCTCGGCCATTTGCATATGGTTTTCCCACCATTTTATCGCGCATGACGAGTTCGGGTAAAAATACTCACATTTCAATTGCAATCCAAAGCAACACTTGCCACAATAACCAACTTCCACAATTGACCATGATGTCTATTGCTCGCTATACGTTTGGCCTCGTTCTCGCACTCTCTACTACATCTTCGTCTGCTGAAAACAATCTGCGAACACCACGAAAGTTGCAAACTTACTCAAGCTACGATGGCTACTACCAACAGATGCTCGATGCAGTGAATGCTGAGCGAGCTAAAGCGGGTTTATCGGCTTTGTGCACGAACCAGAAGCTGGCAAACGCAGCAGCTCGTCATTCGAAGGACATGGCCGAAAACAATTTCATGGGTCATGAAGGTTCGGATGGATCCACTTTGTCGAGCCGTATCACCGATGCAGGGTATTCATGGAATGCAGTGGCAGAAAACGTTGCCGCCGGTCAAGAGGATGTCGCCTCAGTTATGGAATCTTGGATGAATTCTGCAGGCCATCGCGCCAATATCTTGGGTGCTGACTACACAATGTTTGGCACTTCATATGTTTACAATGCTAAAAGCACATACGGACACTATTGGACGCAGGACTTTGCTGCCGGAGAGTCTGAAATCTGCGAAAACGGAAGCCCCAGTACATCACAATCAACTGAACAAACTCAAGAGGAAACCCAGTCAACTAACGATGAAAATGACAGCACCTCGCAAAGCTATAGTCCTCCCTCGACTGGTTATCCTACCACATTTGCATCTCCATCTTCTGGTGGTTTTTCTATGAAGAGCTTTTTCACAAAATCTCGCGCCACGGAAACTCCAGTCCAACAAAATACCACAAAAGTTCCCATTTCAGTAACTCCGTCGTCGGATATTCCAGCTCCGGTTACTCCTGCCTCAATCAATCCAACTCCGGTTACTCCTGCCTCAATCAATCCAACTCCCGTTACTCCTGCCTCAATTCATCCAGCTCTGGTGAATTCACCTTGGAAAACTGTCGCTACTGTGTTTCCTGCTCCAGGAAGTCAAGTCCCAACGACTCCAGATTGTGAAGGAAAGAAGCGGAATTTTGTTGTGACCCGATAATTGTAACTTGATGTATGTGTAGATAGAATATTGAATTGTAATGTGCTAGTCAGTAATACGTCAATTGTTTTCTCTTATATCCAACCATGTTTACCATCTTTCACATCCACGCCTTTTACATATACGTCTACGTAACAAATTCGATTATGTTACAGTTCCACCAATTCCGTATACCTCGTCGCCATCGGCCAGGCTTCTTTACAAATTTTAATAAGAAACGCGCTCGAATGGAAGTATCGCGTTATTTACACGATGAATAAGCGCAAGGTAGCAATTGGTAGGTGCAGAATTTGACCGTCAAATGTGGCGGTTTAAGAGGGTGTTTCATATAAGTGAGGCAATTTCATGCTGAGTAATACCATTACATTTATACTTGAGTCACATGAAAAGCAAAGAAGCCTTACGGTAACGCTAGAAAATTATTTGCATCTGCGATAGCGCTTGTTTATCTCGACAGAAATTGACCTCGTACTCTACTTCACTAAAAATGTGATACACACAAGTAGCATCCATCACTTTCGTAAAGCTGCTCTTGATAATTGGAAGACAGAAATAGATAAATGTGGTTACGGTCGCTGGTGGTAACCTGCTTCGATTCGAAAAAAGGAGCTGCTGCTTGTCAATGTAATGCTTGCAATGAGTTAGACGGAGAAGATTTTATTTGTCAATGTTGTCGACATTGCTGCTTGCACTGATACTGTTCAAGTTGATTGCTTGTATATAGAATTTGAGAGTTCATTGCAGATACCTTACGGCAGAAAGTTTGGCGCTTTTCTTCGCTGCCGGTTGTGAGAAATGCTTTTTTTTCTTAAAGATCGTCAAAATTTTACCGTATAACTAAGAGTAGTAAGAAAAGCATCCACAGAATACGTCACAGGCAGTACATCTTTGACAGCAACAGTTTAGCGCAGCCACACCACGACAACAGAGACATTGTCAGAAGTTCCGCGAAAAAGTGCCTCTTGCACCAGATAATTAGCGATCTGTACCTTCCGTCGCCTACGTGCCGCTTTAATCATCGACCGATCTCTAGTATATTGCTGAGACCATTCGAAAATGGGCACACGAGTGTCACTGTGACCACCACTGCTCCAGGCCTCACGCCCGCCCAACTCGCCACTCATAACATCATGCACAAATTCAATCACCTCGCTACTGGTAAAAACATCCCAAAGTCCGTCCGACGCGATCACAATGAACTCGTCTTTATCGTACTCGATGTCGTACTGGCGGATTTCAGCCTCTCCATTCACAAATGGACGAGAGTCGCGGTCACCTATAGCTCGGGCCACTGCTAAATTGCCATTAACTCGATATGCTCCGTATGGTTCAATTGGTTCGCCTTGAGCATCAACATAGCCAAACCATTGTACACGGCCACCCAGAGACTCGATCCTAGCGCGTTCTTGAGGGTCATTTGGTTTATGATCTCGAGTTAGTTCGACAGCGTTTCCAGCTCGGCATAATACCGCACGACTGTCTCCCACATTCAGCGAGTATAGTACATCATCAAATAAAAGCACTCCAACAGCGGTTGAGCCTTGAAATTTCCACTCACTCTTTGCAATTACATCTTGATCCAATTTATGTATAGCGTCATGTAACATCGTTGCTATCTTTTGACGTCGACTCAGCTTTCCCTTCACATTGTTTTCTTCTTTATTTTCCGCTAAAATTTCCTGATCCAAATGTGAAAGCTCGGGTGAGATCATGGAATAAAGTTGATTACGAAGATACTGCGAGACTGCCGAGCCTCCATGACCATCATAAACCGCAGCAAACCGCTTGCACGAAGAGACATACGACGTGTCTTCCATGTAGGGACGATCTCCTCGCACGGCAGCTGTGCTTACCACCATCTTGCCATCTCGCAAAATTGTCTTTCGTTTTCGTAACGTAAGTTTTTTGCCATCATTTTGCTCGGTAGCTATAACGTTATCGTGGTGCTCATCGGTCATCGTTGGTAATTGTTTAGGATCTTCCTTTCCATCGCCTACCAATTCCTTTGCATCTGCAGTGTTCTCCGTGACTGCAACTGCCACACCAACTATCGCTAGTGCTAATCGAATCCATAGCTGACGTTGTGTCTCACCCTTAAAGATCGAAAGAGCAAAATTCTGACCTGACAAAGATGAACTTGAAGATGTCGAAAAAACTCCGCGTTGTGTACCTTGCAGCTGCAGCCATGAACATGAAGACCCGATTGCCGCAGATACTGAACGCGATGGACGTGGTGGTCGAGCTACAACCAAAGCGCGGCCTCGTGCACGCAATACGGTCTGCATAGCTATACCACCACGAGATGCTTAGAAACTTTGCGGAATAGGTCAAGAGTAGCTTCAACCTACGTTACGAGTGTCTTTTTATTCTTATATCATACTGCATGTTTTTGTTTACCTGCATATATTCATAATGCGCAATATAAACAGAAGGGACCGCAAAAGGGTCAACACATGCGCTACCACTAGCTTTCCTTAGACTCCATGGGTTTCCAACGACTAGGCAATCGTTCCCTTGCAGGACGACCCTTACACCATACAAACGTAATGATGGCCATTACATAGACTAATAAAAACAGCGCCACAATGTACTGCACACGCATAGAAAGTAATCCAAGGTCAGTAGCCATCGCGTCATCAATCAGGAGTTGTCGTGCCTCGATGGAAAATTGAATCGCTAGATCTTCAATTGATACGTATATAGTCGAGTCAATGGGTGTGACCTGTGTCGCTGGTCGCCCATCTGCCAGTGTATCCGTGCCAATGTAATAGCAGCACTCTTTGTGCGCATGCACAGCCTGAAAAATGCGATAGTCACGCGGGTTTCCTTCGAGCGAATATTCTTGGATATGGCTCATAATGCGTGGCTGATCAGGTCTGCCATCAAGCTTGATAGAGTTTCGATGGAAAAACACAAGATTTCCTTGTACATCGTGTTGAATCATGGCGAGACCACAAAATACACCTTTATCCTTTTGCAAATCGAGACCACCAACTGCGGGTGGATACTTGATAAAATGGAATGGTTGACTGGTATTCAACCATGCAAGTCGGAACAAATCCTTATCACCCCATATAAGATGCAATTGCTCAAGTAATCGAGGTTGATGTGTGGAGTAAAACATAAGCTTATCTAACGCACGTTTGCTACGCAGGCGATCTATCAGCACTTGCCCACTCTCCTGCTCGAACATGTCGACATAATTTACCCCCGTTAACTGCCATAGTAGACTTGTGTTTGACAGCTGAAATAGCGAATTCGAGGGCTGCCAATAATCAGGCCAGAAGATGGCGCCTGTGCGCAAAAATTCAGGCTCCTCAAACAAATATGTTGGGTCTTTAGCTGGCAGATTATCTGCGTCCAGTAGCAACACATTGTCGAAATTGCTATAATATACTGCGTAGGGCTTAACATGAAATCCCATAGCTCGACGATCAAAAATTGGTCGCATCCGCACATTAAAGTCGGACAAAAGCTTGTAAACAATAGGATTGTCGATCGACATTTCATCTGGGCGATACCACAGCTCTACTGGTAATTCACAACCTTGCACACGTAACATTCGAATAGTAGCATACGCCGATGGTAACACACGGTCGTATATAATCATTAACACGCCATTTGTGGGTTGCCGCTTGCTCGTCGCCACGTATGGCAAAGCCAATGTTGGTGCTACTGGCGTATGTTCATAGTCTACCGAATGATATCCATATTCTGAAAAATCACGAGCCATATCGCACGAGTAATGGTACCCCGTTGGAAGCGAGTCACAGCCGCTAACCATCAGTTTGTATAAGTCCCCAGACGTGCGATTCCTAACGATGCAGTAGCCCGCCATTTGGGTTTCAATTTTCTCGGAACATCCAAGAAAATCTTTCTCTGGATCAACCGGCATCTCTGTCTCGTCTTCTGATTTTTCTTTCTTACACGATTGAATACGTTTCCAGCCCACGCACTCAAAGCTGGCATTAGTCCAAGGTGCTAATACAGGTGTAAACCCCATGGAGATGCTATCGTCGGTAGTCTTGGTACCCATTTTATTAATAAACACATCGCGCGGCTTTCCAACTACCGGATCCTTCTGTGTGGAGCGCAGACCCAAGTAAAAGCAAATACACACAAGCAAAAGCCACTTCTTGTACTTGACACGATCAAGCTGCATCCAGAGCGAGAATAGCATCACCACGAAACGTTGCAAGAGCATCAAGATCTAAAGTCTAACAAACCAAGCAACGCAACAAATGCTCAATGCTTTTAAAGCAGCTCCAATACTGAAGCAGACACTTGCATATGCCGATCGTTTTGCTTATGCGCTAAGGTGATGTACCCGACTATTGGTACCAGCACCACAATGTATTTTTGGGTATCGTCCAATTATACTTCTTCATATTTGTCTACTGATATTACGAATATAGGACCCCGGAAAAAAACCTCTAGAAATTTTTCTGTAGCGAACTGTTTGTACCACAATAGAAAAAATAAAGTGGATTCCCAAATTGGCGGCGCCATGACTAGGCGTACCGCTAGTAATTTATGTTGATATAGTCAGTATCGAAAGTGGTGACGCCATAGTAACTTTTCTGCAATATGCCATCATCGACCGCCGCTGATACGCGGTATACGTAGACATTGCGCTGCTGTCCTTTGAGTACTCATTGACCTGCAATACCGTGGTGAAGTATCATGATCTAGAAGTAGCTTCAGGACCGTAGTGATGGTTACGATCACTTAGCATTCTCGCCATATATCATGCGTCGAACAAGGTGTTATACTTTCACTCGAGCAGTATAGAGTACCAGAGTTCAGAGATGATCTAGCATTTGCGTCCTATGGATGCCCTTGATCCCACCCTGAAACGGAGCTGCCATGCGCTTTACACAGAAGAAAATTCAGCTCAAAGAGTCCGTGTTAGCGAAAACACAAAACCCTATGATCCAATAAGAAGTAAAATCAAGAGCCCTCACGTCACTAATTATGGATTAAGCTCGGTTGATTCGACAGTACATAGACATGCTGTTGAAAGTTGCACTCAATACATACGCTTTACCATATCTCAAAACGGAGATGCCTTTGTTGTCCGATATGCCCAAGTCTGCCACAAACCTCTCTACAGCGACGTTCTAAAACATGATCGGCACCGATACGTTGTTTAATACAGTTACACTAATGTGCACTGTATCTGCGACCAATCGTAGCATGGTCTGATGTATTCGTGCCAGAACTTTGAGGTACATTTAGGAAATATCGCAACACTTACTCGCTACACCCTTTCTCAGTAAGCTTTAAACACACTGCGGTTTATACTTCTAGCGAATCTTTCGAAACCGCGCAAAAGTTAACGAATAGCCCATGCGCTTGGAGTCTGACTCCCCCGATTACACTTAAAGTTCCTGCTCCTCGAAGCATACTAGCACCGAGGTCCTCTTATGAACACTCAAATAAACGGTTCTGCGCAGCGAATCTCCCGAAAAGGGAGGTTCTATCGACCATGCGCTCAAAAATATGCTTGTCGAGACTGCCAAAGTTTTGTCGATGGGATGAGCACGGTGATTTTTTGAGTCCTAACCCGATGTATTCAACCGCAGCGTCATAGCCGTACATAAAGAGAAATCGCCCGTTGCACTTGGCCTCCCCTTTACACAAATCTTGTGTTAGGAATCCTCTTCCAACGACAAATAGTATTGTCACACCCCGCCGTGGAGCTCTCAACTATGTCTGGCTCGTCATGAATGTATTCACCTAGCTCAGATAGCCTTGATCACTCAGCTGCAAACTCAAAAGTCACGCCAAATCTTGCGCGAATCATCACAAAGTGATTACAATTTTTCAACCCTCTGAGGTTGCTCATCACGCTGAAGTGAAGCTCATATACGCGGATATGTGTGCGCCTTCCATTAGCACAACGAGCTAAATGAGCACAGAATATTGCTCCGCGAGCGCAGTTCCAACCCACTGGCCACCAGTCCTCATGGCACCGCCTTATTATTCACTTGGAGCATTGAGTGAAACTACGCGCCGCCACACCTGTATTATACTTTTGAGAGCCAGTTTTGGCGAAGGTGACACTCGTCTAGAGATTTGCCTAATGCTTGGCTTTGCGAACTATGAAGCACGACGTGGACGTCAAGGTGAATCATTAACTCCCGCTCCTGCTGCTTCCAGCCCCGCTTATTGCCACGAGGCAGCTGTATAAACTACCGACCAAAGGACATAATTATCACAACGTTGGTGATTGCTCACTAGTAGAAAGAGCGCTGTGACAGGCGACCTGTCACAGCGCATCGAGCAGTGCCAGCGGTGGTCGATCATCCCGCTGCAGACTTTCATGAGTGTCGATTCCTTCAGTGAGTGTTGGCATGCGTCCGAGTCGCCATATCTTGGATTCTCTCCTTGGGCTATTTGTCACAGCGCAAGGCTGGAGACATCCCAAGGGACGCGAAGCCACGTCGCTGCTTTGAAGTAATCGTCAGCTCATTTATAAAAGGTGGTAGAGACGCTAATCATCTACAACATATGTCTTCACGTTCGATGGGTCGGTAAACTGTACTAAATGAAACTTCTCCCCCTCTACGTATTCGTGTGTGTTGCTGCATGTGTTGCTTTTGTTTATTCAGGCTCTCAGCCACAGCGTTAAACACATTGCCCATCACGATCAATAGCATTAAGATAAAACACTTATTTTTCCACGAAGTGCAGCGGGGCTAATATCAGCAATTCGAATTCGATTGACAGCCCCTTAACCACTAACATTGGACCCACTCCATTGTGGTGTCAAAGGCATCGTGATTTATCAAACGATTTATGTTACGCCGGTAAGGTCTTCGTATATATGTTTGTGATATAATGCCGGTTCAAAGAGTGGGAGCAACTCGCTTCGGCACCGCGATGTCTCTGCAAAAGTTTTTCGAGTGATATCCTGTTCAACGCGAATGATAGGCTCGGTTTTGCCATCTGTTTGCGTCTGCGATCACAAGTTGACATGAACAATCTAGTGTTGAGAACCTTGATCAATTTTTGTAAGAGATCCCCGTTATAGAGCAAATCTTTTCCCGGTACGATGGCTTTGACAAGCCAAGGTGTCGCAGTACTTTGTACTAATTAGCTTTGTTATTTCTTCACCAGTCATAGTTCTACTGACAAAAGCAAATTGATCCATCTTGCTCAGACAGTCCATAAGGACTCTGGCGCCAGTTATACCAGTCGCATATTCTAAAAAACCGAAATTAAAGTCCGTATTCATGGACTGACAACATTCTGTTGAAAAGGTTGGGCTGGCTAACAAGCACCGCATGTGGTCAGGACGAGTACAACGACGCACGTGTCAACGGGAATAATGTGCTCTGAATGAATTCTGTACTTATGGTATGCATTATGAGGCACCACTACAAGCGGATTGACAGTGCTAATACAGCAATGCCCCAGATAAAGAAATTCGGTGCCGAGATTCACCCACGTGCTACAATACAGAGGCATCCCAGCTCGCAAGCTTGTCTTCCAAAGCTCAAAATACCGCAATTAGTGTTACGTTTGACCCCTGCGCTGTAAGTATCGCCTTATCAGCTGGCGTCATCACCATCGTGACAAATCAGTCGAGAGACACGAAGGAGCATCCACTAGTCGATTTAACTCACTCGCATTCCTTCAATACGTTCTCAGCAAATAGATATTCATCTCTTTTTCTTATGACACTGTTGCTATGAACAACAATGCATCACCTGCTAAGATCACAAACGGCTTAAACCAAGCAGGTGCACTCTGAACGGAACGAAAGTATACGTCATTGTACGGAGATCCTTAAATTGAACAGAGTAATTACTTTATCTGCTGCCAACTTAAGCTGGCGAGACTCAAAATGCGATCGCGCTATACTGTCTATTGATATTTGCTTGGAGCTAAGCACGGCCTTTCACAAAAGCTGAAACGTCACCCAAGACATAAAATGGTCGGTCTGGGCTCGAAAGAACTTGAATAGGGCACGCAGGAGGATTTCCTTACAGCCTTTAATGGTATTGGGTAGTAAGGGGATCGGTGAGGAGTCGTGCTATGACGGTATCATTTGCCATGTATTTGTGCAAGTAACTACCACTACTATGAGCGCCATTTTGGACGGAAGGACTGATCAATTTGCGGTGGCCTTTATTATTGCAAGATCTTCCCGCCAGGTCTTCTTCTCCATAATGCAACTCAGACAGAAAATCGTCGGTGCAAAGACAAACATGTCCAACTGCCTGATTACAGCGCATACACTCAAGCACTGCTTGCAAGTGCTTTATGTCTTTTTCCACATTTTGACTTGCCTTGATCTGTGCGAGAAAAAGGTTTGAAAATATTATCAGCCATTCCATAGGCATCCCGTTCAGAATATGAGACAAATATCACTCTCTTTCATGGGGTGATGTTCATCGAACGGATCAACGGCACTGGAAAAAGTACACTGATTATTCTGTTCTACAGTGCACCCATTACTGAATCGGCGTTTGCACCGGAATTGTGACTGATGAAGGCATACAAATCTTGCACTCGTCGTGAACATTCTTCGCAGCACATGTGGCGAGTCTCTTTTCACCACAATGTATAAGCGTAGGTATGACTCTTAAGACTAGCCGATTTGCTCTCGCACTTATTGTTCTGCGATGGCGTTCAGCCTAGAATAATTCATGTCGATTGATGAGCTCAGCTATCAAACGTACAATGCCGGTGGCTTCTTTGCTTTGCAATTTCTTGCGCACACCCTAGTGATAGAATCCTCAGCTCAACAGATGGATCTACTGGTGGAAATTCAGGAAAGTACCACCACCTGAGCCTTACTCGGACTTCGCCACGAGAAATTAATATTGTTGCCGTTTTCCTTTTTGAGAGTTAATCCTTCTCGCGTTCTGCCCGTGACACAGCAGATCTAAATCCAGTACTGTTTTTTATAATAATGTGTTGTCTTTCTTAACTTTAAAGCTTCACCTTTCTACTCGCGATTTGCATAAGCCCTTTAACTCCACAAAGCACGGCACAAGAGATCCAACACCTAGTCACTTCCATTTTTCATTAATCTTGACATTCAGTCGTACTAACCCGTCTTTACACAGAGCACTCTTGAGACCACGAAATAGAATAATTTTTTTTCAGTCTCATCCTGAGTTCTCGACTCGCTGCTGCTTCGATGTATGCCCGAGGCACTGAGCGATACCATTACTACGAATTTTGGACAATCCCATGTACTGCATATAAGTTATCACAGCTTCGACCCCGGGCATATCTACTTCTATTTCGTGGCAAAAATGATTACGAAATTTATGATGTCAATTCTATAAAAGCTTAGTTCCATTGATCACGACCTTCACGAGGTACACAAGTTGGCCTGTGCCTACTGGGATTCGACAATTCTCTGCGGGTAATTTGCAAACGCCTTTTCATGGAAGCCCGACCCTAAGTAACCGTCAGCCGTGAGCGAAAGAGGATACGCAAGACGCGGATATTTCGTACTCTGAGGTTTGGAGATTCAGGTGTAGCTGCTTAGCTGCTTAAAGATATCGGTTTCTGACCCTCATCATCAATTAATTCTAGAATTATGCCACTAGTTTTTGCCTCTCTTGACGGATAAATGATAATACCAAACACACACGATACGCCTGGTGCAGCGAGGCTGCCGTAGCTCTTAGAGGCAGCTTCGCTAAGGTCGCTGACCATCGTTCTATACTGAGAACCAGTACGAGTGTAGCGGACCGCAATCCGCTTACTCCAAGTAACTCAGACTTAACCCAAGGCTAATACACGCTTCCGTCTATATCATAAACTATTTTTCTCGGTTTTATTTACGACAAAGACTCCTATATCAAAACTATAGGGTTCTATACCTATGTAGTAAAACCTAATGAGATGTATAACAACCGGCTATTCCAGCCACGTACTGATTTCTTGTTTAATTGTAGCCGCGCCATCTTGTGTGACACACGCCACTTCGTGATCACATCGTCTTGTGTACCCACACTTTTCATACCAGGGCACGTGATACCCCGTTACACCTGGTCAGGCGGTGAGAACATCCGCGGCACCTGTCGCTTTAAATCGTTTGATGTGAGGGACGCCCCTTTCACCGAGGTACTACACGTCACCGCCAATTTACGCGTACGATCTCCTAGCTGAAAGATCGCAGCCGCGACGCGCTGTTGCTCTGTGTGGAGCATGGTCACAAACACGGTCATATCAGTTTGCCTGAGAGATCTCCCCAAGAGCTGAATGCTCAACATAAGAGACCTCGCAGTGTGTATCCCACCGATGCTCGATGGCGACGGTAATGATTTGTTCCACCAGCGCATTATTATAGTTTGTGAGCGCTATAGGCAAACGATTACCGTATGTAGCCAGTTTTCAACCCCCAGGAACCAACATTTGACATGAGCTTTCCAAGCGTGTCTATCTTGTTCTTGAACACATCTCATATTTCATCCTCACGTAGAATAGTTTTCTTCCACGACATGATTGTAGAAGTGATTACAAAAACCCCGCCACTTCACAAAATATTGGGTTAAACCCCGTCAACGACGTCGACCCACAAGGCGTTCCACGTGGTAGTGGACGCCACCTTTCTTATCTAGAAGAGTCGGCAGAGGACGATGACAACTTGGTCGATCGCCGTCCGTGACTCGCGATGCTCTTCGAGCGTTGTATTTGCAATGGCGTTGCCGCGCACCTGGTCTTTGAAAGCATTGACTCAATAAGTTCGCATTAACGAATGCACAGCAGCTGAAACATACAATCAATTGAAACTGCTGGTTTTCATGAAGGGTCATCAGTCTGTTTTATCTAAAACCACAACATTTACGTTAATTTTATGGAAGGAGATGAATTCTGTCCAAAAAAATTAGTCCAGAAAATGTAGAAGCCGTCAATGTAATCTTTCTACACCCGTCTAAACTTATCAGGCTGTCAGAGGCTGTAACAAATAAAAGATTGGCTGCTATCCATTAGAATCCGGTTATAGACGCAGTCATCTTCTTCTTTCGATTTGTCCCTTCGATAATTTGGATAACATTTCACATCTATCTCACTTTAAAGCCCAATCTTCCTTACTTCAACCTAAGTCAAATAGACCAATAACCACATTCAATTTGTTATTATATAGTTTACTATTTTTCCATTGTTAAGTGCTGTATTATCAAACATGTTCTACCTGATTGCAACGTCATAATCATCCAAGTAATAAAGGTATATTCTTAAATATACTAAAATATTCGATGTGAGACTACAAGCTACTATTTTTCATTGCAATCTAAAAAGCCTTCTGCCCTGGCTCTGTTCAGAAACCAATGCTTATTTTTCATATAATTTACATATATACATAATATCGATTCACAAAAACGCATAATCATATTAGATCAACCAATTTAACGTGGCTCACATGACCTTCATATTGTGTAATTCAAGTATTCTTCGGATTTTCACACATTTGAGTACATTACTTTATCGAGGGTCCAATAAGAAGAGCGTCACCTGGTTTTACAGAATTAATTTGTGCACTTCTACAGTTTTTCTCTTCAAAAAAAAGAGGGAGAAAACTTTTTTGTCGCTAAACGGACCGACCTACGCCGGGGGATCTCCTTCCCGCTTAATAAAGCATTTGTGATACTAAACGAAGTCGCTTGGGATCTCATTGGTGTGATAGAATCAACAGTGACATTGTATTGGTACAGCGCTTGATACAAACCACGGTATCTCGCATGATATCAAACGTCGTTGATGAGAAGCAAAGGCGGCCGGCCGCTGATACTACTTTGTATGAAGAGACAGTGAAGCCTTTAGAGACTGAGACACATGTGACACGTCACTTTAAGCTGCAGTTAAAATGCAAAGATGGATCAATGTTTAATGTGACATACGAGCAAGCGATGATGTCATCAACGCTTTGGGTTCTTATGCAAGGTAGGGATAAACGGAATGCTTAAAGAAGTACGCAATAGAGACTAATATTCTTGTGTGTAGATGTGTATGAAAAGAAGCCTAAGAAAAGCATTCAGCAGCACGTAATTCCTATCTTTGATGTGCCTTCTAAGAGCGTACAGTGTGCTCTTAATTATTGCAGGTAAGTCATTTTTATTTATTTATTTTGAAGATTGGAACGAAACTAAAGGACTCTATGTAGTTGTCTGTACAAACAACAGGTTGACCGAGTTGATTCAGCGATGTTGGACTGGGAGGACGAATTTGTCAGTCTGGAGTCGAAAGAATTGTGCGATCTGGCAAAGGTGGCGTCAAATTTAGACATTCAGCCACTCGTGGATCTCACGTGTCGGTCTATAGCTCAAATTATGTCAGCGACATCGGAAGCTGATGATTTGAGAAAGAAGTTTGGGCTGAAAGATCCACCCGACGTTGAGTGTAGTTGTGAACTGCGCAGTGATATGGCTGGATTTGACTTTGACATGTTTAACTCTTTGGATCATGATCTTTCAACCGAAGAGTATGAGTTAGTGGAGTTTGATCAACCGAGTGTTGACGAATTAGTCAATTTTATCAATGGCAGTGGAAGCAACCCAAACGCGACACCAAATCAATTATTGCAGCAACAGACAGTAACAGACAAAAAAGATTGTCATTTACATGGCGAGAGCTTGTCGGATCCTGGTGGCTCCAATAATGGGAGCACAAGTTCCAGTAAGAAAAAGCGAAAAAAGCGTAAAAAGAAAAAAGCTACATCTAATTCTTTCGAGATGAGTTGTCAATCCGACACCAAATTTTCCACTGCAATGAACATGAGCGCCAGAGTAAACGACACACACAATCAAGAGACCAGTAGTAGCGAAGAAAAGGAAGAGTCTGATGCTGGTTCAATAAAGCCGTCCGTTCGGCAGAAAAACAAGATAAACAAGCCGCAGACTTTGGAAGAAAAAGTTCGTTTGGCACGACAGAATCCAAGTGCTGTATTTAGGGAATCACAATTTGAAGACGATGATGACGAAAACATGGCAGAAGTGATCAAGATGTTTGAGTTGAATTTAGAATCTGCATATCGAGATTGTGATACAAAGCAGAAGCCTCGTTTGGATTTTGCGCCACGTGATGTATTTCGGTCTCCTCTCGTGCAGTCATCACAACTGAGCATGTACAACAGCGTTTTGCAGCCGAGATGACATGATTACGCTGTTTGGACACAACAGCAAAGATGATGTAAGACGACGCCAATAATATAATGTGCAAGATTGAAAACTGGTCTATTTTTATTTGAAGCCTACTCAGCTGTAGCATTTACACGCCACTTGTCGATCTTGAGATTCTGTAAGAATTGAATGCGACGGTAGAAGAAGAGCAGCCAGACCACACCGAGTACCAAGCAAATAAAAGTCTCAACAAAGAAACCGTCACGAACGATAATGCATTCACCGCCAGCATCAGTGCAGGCTTTACGAGCTTCGGCATCTGAACAAGTCACAGATCCGATGTCGATCACCTCATCATGAAAAAAGCCGCCAAGACACTCGCGCGTAGTGACATGATCTACGACAGCGAGACTGAGTGAATTGGGCCACTTCGAACCTAAGTTCGTGACCGTATTGAGGAAAGTCATGTACGTGCCACCAATGGACGGATCACTGATACGAGCGTAGAATGCCATTTGCGGGACGTACATCATATTGGCAGCGACCTCATGCAATGAACCACTCACCAGAATAATACCATAGAAAAGATAATGGGAACTCTCGTCTTGTGCCATGACCATCGGCGTAATGTAAACTAGGCCGGCATACAAAAGTCCGACAGCAAGTCGCAAGGGGTAGCCCCAGATAAAGAGATTGAGTGGTTGCGATGGCTTGATCCATCGACCAATCAAGACTGGAATGAAAATACCAAGCGGGATCAGAATAGGCGTCAATAACGCCAGCTTCTCTTTCTTCATGCCGTATTCGACAAGTTTAAGAGATGCGACACTTTCCGCAGCTGCAAATCCAATCTTACTCGTCAAAAGCATTATAGACAGTGAAATCACACTCGGAAGACGCAACACAGAATACATTTGTGAATACGTTTGGCCAATACTCAGTCGCTCGCTACCATCTCCTTCTGGCTTCTCGTGCTTAAAGAGCCACACGCCTAGAGTAGTGAAGAACATGACCCAGCCCCAGAAGCTCATAAATCCAGGCAATGTCACCATTCCTTCATCCTTTGGTTCACTGCGTAGATAACTGTTGCAAGTGGATGGGTCGTTAAGCGCCAGAAATCCCACATATGCTACAAAGTAGCCAATCGTTTGGCCAACTGTATTGCACGTGGATGCATGACCCACATTCTTTTCCGAAAGCATAGTGATGGCCCATCCATCCACAGCAATATCCTGTGTGGCCATCATAAAGTATAGCACGAAAAAGAAGCAGGTGAGGTATACAACATGTGGCTTTTGGTTCTCACCTTCACCCAGCAAGTCGCTCATAAACCAACTGCCCACAACCATGAGTAATGCACAAATAAATTGCACAGGAATAAGCCACGACTTTCGACGGCCAAATCGTTCGCTATAAAGTGAGTCCACAAATGGAGCCCATAGTAGTTTAAGACTAAAAGGCCACGATACCAAACTGAAGGTCGCTTGATCACCATATCCAACTTTTTCTTGAAGAATGAATGGAATACTGCTAGACAATCCCATTGGGATGCCTTGTAGTGTATACAACAGCAGTAGCAAAAGGATAGAAGGCCAGTCGTTAATGTCGTCATCACTTTGAGTCTGCAAAAACTCTTTAGACTTTCCTTTAGTTCTCGTGATAGGGGACCGAGCATCTCGAGTCGAGGTCTTACGTTGCCGCAAAGACGTCATTATTGAAAGTGACGTGTTCAAAGCGGGTGGAATGTTTATTAAATATGATTGGATGAAACAAGTCTAAGTATTTGACCAATCCAATTGGAATATAATATCCGTATATTTCTGATTGTATTTAATATGGCGTCGCTCTTCGGCAAACTCCCGTCAGCGGCTATGCGCAATTACGGCCATAGTACGGCGCTTGTGAGTACTGCGAATAGCAATTGTGAGCGTACACTTCAATGGGTGTATGACGATGAAACTAGTAATTGTATGCTCTGTAATACGCTTTTTACAATGATTACGCGCAAGGTATAATTGTGATATTACACGGCACTAAACCAATTTGAATGTAATGCAGACTGTTATGTGATTGTAGCACCATTGTCGACGCTGTGGAAATGTCATTTGTCATAATTGCTCGCCACATAAGCGCCGAATTTCGTCTACCGACCCGTTTGTAAGCCAATGTGGAGAGTAAGGGAATGGTAAAATACTCTAGTTGCTGATCGTGTGAATATTTTTCCTAGCCTATGAGGGTTTGCAACACGTGCTATGCTGCGGTTGATGAACATTTTGCGTTATTGGAGTGGTCTGGCCATTCTTCCTCAGAGGTATGTTTACAAGTGTATCGGTGTCTGCTATCAAAACCAAATATTGATCGTGGTGTATAGATTCATAGCAAACCAGATCCTGTAATTGAAGGCCGAGTGCATGTCGGGCAGTTGTATGTAAAAGTAGTTGAAGCCATTGGATTACCGTCAACCGACTCAATCACAAGCGACCCATTTGTGCGGGTGATGCTTACTGGTAAGTGGTCACACGGACAGGAATGGGGCAACGATTTAAAGAACACCAAGTGCACGAAGAAAAAGTCACGAACACTAAATCCACGCTGGCATGAAACGTTTGTATTTAATGTATGTGCTCCAGGAGCAGAGTTGTTGCTTGAGGTGTATAATCACGGCCAACTAAGTCAGCCGACGAAGTTGGGTGAGGCTACAGTCCCACTTTCACAGATAATGGATCAGCGACGACATAACAAATGGTTGGATCTATTACTACCCGAACGACTTCACCGTGCAGGCCTTAACAACGACACCCGAGCGGGTCGGATTCACGTTTTATTGCATTACAAATTCTCACGAATGGCTGAACTATGCAGCTACTTTACAGCAGAGCAAGATTACGTATATGAATGGCCGGAATTTCAAGCCGCACAATTGTATAGTAATTTTTGGGTTTTGTTGGATAATTTATGGCCATATTTGGAGGTGGTCTGGCAGATTTTACCAACATTGAATTGGGAGCATCCAACGCACTCATTTATGTGCTTTGCTCTTTGCGTATGGCTTTGTCTATCACTACAATGGCTGCCAGTGGTTATTCACCTTGCACTCATTGCATTTGTTTTGCGCAATTACTTTGAGCTAAATTTCCATTCTTTTGCAGGAGTGACAGATGTGAAAGACCATTCAACAGGTGCAAATGTTCATATTGATCAAGATATCAGTACTAGCGCATTCCGACAGTATAATTTACCTTCGGGCTTTCATCACCTTATGAACAAGATGACACATGTCACAATTGACCAAGAGACAAAGCGAACGCTGCAGTCAGTACAGAATAACATGGCTTGGTGGTCAAACATTATTAACAACCTTGAGCTTATGTTTTCATGGGAAGATACTTTTTACACTGCACGCATACTATTCTACCTCATCGTGAGTTGTATGCTACACGTCGTGATTCCCAACAGATACTTGCTGCTGGCATTCGTGGTATACCTCTTCATACAGTGGACGGTCCCCTTTATGTGGTTAACACACTTCATCTATGCCATCCGCCAATCTATCAGCTCTTTGGTTCATCAACACCGTCTTCGGAGCTCCATGGCACAAGCGGATCTAAACACTCGACCGTCTGGTGTCGGATTAACTGGAGGTCTCAGTTTGAGTGACCACCCACGAGCCATGCGCCGCACCGTCTCAAATGCCAGTGCTCGAGCCCATGCACGTGTAATCAGGAAAGAAGAGGCATTTGGGGCGGCAGCCTCAGCAATCTCTAAACGATTTGTTGTCTCTGGTGAGCCTTCACTTCGCAAGCGGTTTGTTTGAAGAAATAAAAGTTAAGATAGAGATTAAAACTATGAAAATTTTATTCAGTGATAATAGGCTCAGATTTTTCGCTCCAAATTATTATGCAGTCTTTGATCACTTTGTAACAGGATGCGTGCTGGACTACTGTGTGCGTTGTGAAGGAGCTAAAGGACAGGTTCGTGGTACACGTGCGCTACTGTCCTCACACCAAGCAATCCAGGTCATTTTACTATTGTATATAGTTTACCTTATTCCGTGAGGATTAGTTTATATAGACTTGATCTTGCTCCTGATATAGAAGAAAGAAATTAGTACGAAATTGCTGTCGGTCACGAGCTTCACATCTGTACGTGGAGATGCAAATTCTTATATATACCTCAGTCGGCACCGACTGTTTGTGTTAGAAAAAACAACAACAAGTGACGAGTTGTGCATGCTTAATAAGCGTAATGCAGCCGTCAATCCGGAACGCACATGATTCATAGAATTATCACGCTGTAAAATGGCATGGTTGGTTGCACCTTGTTCAATGGTTTTGATCTCGTTGATTAGATTTGTCAACTCCGCATCACAGATAGTTACACCACTCTTACTGCAGTAAGTGCTTTGAGCAGGAAGCTATGGGAGTTGCTGGCGACGCCACAGGGTCTGAATTATGCACCGGTGGTCTCAAATCGCCACGTTATGGAGCTTACTGGGCCACATAGCGCCTATACATAACTAGGTTATGACGGTAAGTCAGATGTGGAGAATGAAATCAAGCATTTGCAAGTGATACTTGAGTACTTGTGCTATAATAAAGCGTTCGTCAAAATATACAAGAGTATCTTTGTCATCAATGAGATCCCCATTTCAATTGCTTGATTTAAAGAGCATGGCCTACGGGATGTCTCACAGATATAATTACACCGTATGATTGACTAGCGCTTTAGGACTAAGAGCGCCTAGAATAGTGGCTTGACGTCACTAACCACTTGCACGGGTATAGTGCAATCTTGCCGACATTACACGGCCATGATGTGTGTCGATCATGGATATGAGCTAAGCAGGGACACACCAACTCGTTCAGCAAATGTTATAGCAAGTCGCATTTTGAGGATTTGAATCTCTGGCGAGACTCTTCGCAGTCATGGCTATATGCCCAGGAGGAAGTGCTTGGGTGGAGTACAGCTAATAGCGATGTTTCACACGGAATTAAATTGCAGCGGGGCTGCCGTAGTTGTTTGCTTGGAGGAAGCTACAAGAAAGAGGAATCTTTACAAAACCAGTATGAGTGTAGCAGATCGTAATCCGCTACCTCCAAGAGTGCTTCAAACCTTAACTAAAGTAAAGAGGCTCTTCCGTTCAACATTATAATTAAATAATTAATTGTTCTAGTTGCGGCAGTGCTGCCAATATCCAAAACGTTTTCCTAATTTATCTGGTAATATCGAATCAATATAGTAAAACTTAATTGATATGCATTTCTACTGGAAATCCTGCCACGTAGCGGCTTTATATCACGGTATAGCCACCCATTCTTTGATCACACCAACTTGTGTAATCCACGCCTATGTACGGTCACACTATCTTGTGTGAGCCGCCCTTTCATAAAAGGGCACGTGAAACTCCGTTATACTCTGAATACGTGTAACCCCGTTACACTCTTCCGGATAAAACACACAATCCAATTCTAAATGTCGCCTCATACGAGGCTCGCGTGTATGAGACAACGTTCATCTTAAAAATATCCTTGAACTTTCTCCGCTCGATTAGCCCTGCTTCCATAAAACGAAAACACCCAGCCTAGTTGGTTCCGAGGACGCCCGCGGGCAAAACCCTTCTTCTCCGGCACGCGGTGCATCTCCGGACAGTACGCCCGCGGCTTGACGGGAAGCACATCTCAAGCCCTCGGCAAACGAGCGCCACTCACAGCGCCCACCCGGGCGACGAATTTCCTCGTCGAGGAGTTGGAGATAGTCGTACGAGTCAGACAATCCTTTCCCAGCATGGCAAGACGAGGAGGATGAGGTGCACCAACGGCGCGACGTGAGTCCAGCTCGAACCCTGCGGACGCCGTGTCCTTTCCCCGACCTAGTGACTTCCAAGGAAAGTGGTATTATTACCACTATTTTCGACGAGGCACAGGAGTAGCAGCTGGAGACTGACCACAGGGCGTCTCTCATGCGCTCGTATCCACTTCGGTCCTGTGTAATACGGCATCTACTAGGCGGATCCCGCTACCGAAGCGAAAGACGCGATCACTCGATCATTCGGCGTCTACGTAGTCGGGTCCCCAGCCACTACACAAGACAGCGGAAAGCCCCCAATCTCGCTTCTTGACACATCAAGAAACCCCAATCGATAGGTACCGCGCTCGACTTCGAGCTCAAAGAGGTGGTATTCGTGTACTCACTATGCGGACTATTCCTGTGGTGCTCGCCCTTGCGAAACGCTGCAGATGATGAAGAGCTTTTTGGAAAATGGTTGCAGCGGCACCGAAAGCTTTCCTCGCTGTCTAATTAACAGCTGAGCCACAAGAAAGCGGACGTACGAGTAGAGCGCCATTTTCGATTTGAGTTTGCCAAAATCAAGGCAAAACGCAGTCACCCTACTTATTGTCGCCCTGCGACGTGTGGAATCATCCATCACGTCCCTGCAAGCTCTGTGATGTCTCACACGGATGAGTCTACGACCACAACATCTCGAAACCATAGCTGGGTCTTAGCTCGTGATCCTTCGCCCCCCCGGGATACTGTCGAGAAGCGCGGGGCGCACGACGACGCGAAGCGTCATTAACCTTCTGATCATAAGCGTCTACGACGTCTAGACAGTCTTGCCGAAATGGCATCTAAAACTCCCACGAGTCCTAAAGTTTTGTTAACCCCGCCACTTCACAAGATATTGAGTAAGACCCTGTCGACGACGTCGAGCCTCAAAATTTGCCACGTGGTAGCACCTTTTCTCATCGAGAAGAGTCAGCGGCGGACAAGGACGACTTGGGCGATTGCCATCCGGTGACTCGCGATGCTCTACGAGATTTGAGGGACAAAGTCCGTCGCCATCGGGAGTCTGCCGAACATCTTTCTGAGGTCGCCTACCGCTGTGCGGAAGACCTCGAGATTTTAGAGCACTTTGTGCACCGACTGCCGCACGTTGAGGACTACCGCGCGCTGCCGAAGCGGCTCTTAGCCGTCGAGCAGACCAATACGTCACATTGTGCGAGGGTAGAGGGCTTGTGCCGTTGTAAACGGAAACTATTGCACTCCGTGCTCAGAACCAGTTGCTGGTTCAATTTCTGGGTGGCCGATCGCCTTTTGTCGCCGCTCTGGCGCCAACGTTTCTGCATCTACTTGCGCCGGATCCCGGTACGGCTTTGACAAGCCCACATAAAAAACCCACACACAAAAAACACCGGGTGGGTGCGCGTTCATTTTGAAAGCTTCAGCGTATACGCAAGGCCTCGCCTGGCCACGACCTCAAAAAGTCCATAAATCGTGAACGGAGCTTTGTCTTAAAGACAGCAGAGACTACATTTGTAGAAAGATTTTTCGCATTTGATAAAACTAGGTCTTTGAGTTCAAAGTTCTCTACATTACTTCTGCTTCTTCCGTCCGCATATTCTTTCTGCATGTCTTGGCTTTCAGCTATCACATCGGCAACATGTCGTAGGATAATCAGTATGATAGACAGGAAGTCATCGACTTTTTTACGGAAAGTGAGGGGGCTGAGATCAGTTAGTCGATTGGCCCTCCACCAAGCACTGAGCCATGGGATGGCGGCTTCAGCGGGACGCGAGGATCAACAAGCACATTCACGTAGAATGGCGTGTAGCCGGTAGATGAATGTACTGCACTGTTTAGAGCAAAATCTACAAGTTGCAACATAGCGCTCCGGCACTTCAGTCCCTCAGAGCAGACGCTGCGAAGAACGTCTTCAACGACACGATCCACGTGCTCAGTTTGACCATCAATCTGCGGATGGTCCGCTGTTGACATAGTCAACTTGGTGTCCAGCACCCTGGAGATTGTAGAACAGAACTTCCCAGTGCAGCGCGGGTCTATATCATAGATAATTGACTCCGGGAGTCATTCTGTCGAAAGACACGATCCACAAACAGCGTCGCTGTGCCCACACCGTCGATGGTGTCCGGCACTCCCGCAAGATGAGCCGTCACTTGCTGAAACGGTCGTCAAAGACCACCACACCTGTGAGTCGTCAGCAGGCCAAACGTAAAGTCCGAACTCATGGACTGCCAGCACCCGGAAGGTACCGGTAAATTGGCCAGCGGTACCGCTGCATTCGGAGAGGGTTTCACCCTTCGACACGTCTCACACGTGCGCACATATTTGCTCGTCTACTTGTATTGCTTGGGCTAATAATTGTGGCAACCCACAGAGCTGTACTTCTCCTCACGACTGAGATGACCATTGAGTGGGGTGTCGTGGGCATCATAGAGGATACGGAATTTCAAATGTTCATTGAGAGCGACCACAATTCATTTTGTATCCGTCGGATCGGTGCTACAATACAGCAATCCTTCATTCAACGAATATCGGTGTAACCGCGCGCGTAATCCCACCGGCAAATTCTTGTCCGAGTTTTCAAACTCCTTGCTCTCGATAGCCTGCAGCAGCGCCACATATATATCATCACCCGCGTATTCGGCGCGGATCAAATCCGTCACCGACCACGTCACTGTCGCGACATGAGCAAGCTGATTATTCGGTCTGCGTGACGACGCATCAGTCAAGGCATCCTGTTTTCCTAGCTTATACTTCACCTTGAAGTTATATACTGCGAAGAAGGAGAGCCATCCTCATCCTGGTAATGAAGAGCCTCAGTCGGAATGCGTAATGCTGCGTGGTCGGTGTTGATCAAAAACGGCTTTGAGCCAAGCAGGTGCACCCTGGAGTTGACAAAAGCTTACTTCATCGCAAAAAATTTCTTGTCGCGAACTGGGTAGCTCCTATCCGCAAAATAAAGCTGGCGAGATTCAGACGCGATCACCTGATCTCGCCCTTTGGCGTCTGCTTTTAGCAATTCACAACCGATGGCAAAGTCCGAAGCGTCACAGACGACACTAGAGGAACGACCAGGGTCTTACAACGCCAGTATTGGTGCATGAATGAGGCATTTTTTGACCCCGTCAAAAGCCTCCCGATGCTCGGTGTCCCAAGACCATTCCGCATCCGGCTTAAGAGGGTTCGACAATGGCTGTGCCATTATCGCATAATTCGCGCTATACTTGTGCAAGTAGCTGGCGAGGCCGAGCCAGTTGCGCAAGTCCTTTTGGTTCTTTGGAACTGACCAGTCCACAATGAGCTTGATCTTAGCGGGTTGCGCTCGAAGACCACGCTTCCCAATAAGGCTTCCTAAAAGGGATTACTCCAGCGCCGAAGATTCGCTTATCGCATTAGCTTACAGCTTATACGTGCGCAAGCAATCAAGCACCGCACTCAAATGGACGATGTGGTTTTCCCCATTTGACCTCCTAAGCCCCGCACGACTGTAGACGAAGATGCCAAGTATGTCTGCGCACACGTCGAATGGGGCCTGAACAACTGCACCACACAACGATAAAATGTTGCTGATGCGTTTGATAGCCCTTCGGGCATCAGTAGCCATCTCCACAGCATGCCGCTCAGAGTACTCACCGCTGTCAGCGGGAAATCACACGCTCTCATGTGCAAAAGGTTATACCCATCGAACAAGTAGAGTGCTCCGTACTTTGTAAAGCCAACCCTATTGTTCTAAAGAAAAATCTTCCTAGGAATCGGCGTCTATGCCGGAATGGTGGCAGCGTTTGACTTATTATAAGCGTGAGCGATACGCCACTTGCCGTTCGGCTTTTTCCGGACACAAAACTTGGGTGTCGAATGGGCGAATGGGGAGACTTGCTCTTACGCACCTGTTCTGTGTCGTGCTTTGCACAGAAAAAGGCGTCATTACATTATATTGCTCCTTAGACAGGGGTCATTGGCGTGTTGCGCAGTATTTGGTTCCCGGAACCAGGTCGAGCTCATGACGCACACCTCGGTCCCTTGGTAGGACCGACTGCGAATCTTTGGCGACGACGCCTTAGAATTCCTGTACCATAGGATAGTGCAAATTCAAGAGATATTTAAGGATCAACGATCCACTTCGTGCGTTCAGCAACCTCTTAGTTCCTCCAGGAAAGCTTCTTTCAGAAGCAACGACGAGTTAATCTCCTCATGCGGTCGTAGAATGACCACCTCGGCTTGATTGCCTGCCTTCAATAAACCACTAAACGATTCGAAGAACATTGCCTTCAGCTCAAGAAGTGCATCCACCGCGGGAATAGCCTCGAGGGTGACGTCGCCGTCTTTCTCTGCCATCATACCATTGCCAAGGGTATATAGCTGTGCACTAACGGCTACGGTCGACTCACCCTTGGTCAGATTTGACGCCCAGTGTCTTGCAGATATCATACGGTATTGCTGTTGCCTATCCCATGAGATTTTACGTCTCATAAAGACCGGTGGGAACACGCGGTAGGCGTCGTCCATTGCCTTCACTCCCTGCTCCATCGAAGCCCGCTCCATACCCAAGCCAGGCTCGACCACTGCTGCTGTGCAGGCGATGTTTTCAAAAGCAATGATGTTCACAAACCGCCGGCGAAGCATATATAGATGATCGTATTGCTTTCAGTTTGAGCGGAAGGCCTATCACATCAACACTTGAAGTCTTGATCATGGCACGGCCGCCAATCTCATTAAGAATGAAGTGGAGTTTCGTATCATCATTCACCGTAGAAGCTGGCATATAAATTGCAGGTCCTGCAGAAATGAGGCAGGGCGAAGAGATTTAACATCAAAGAGATCCCTACACTCGGAACTTGTTTTGTCGTATATCTCTCGTTGAAGGCAAAAATATCGGTTCGGGACTTGAGGAGTCGCCGTATTCATCTGATATCGAAGAGTATCATCCGAGGATAACCGCATTGACTTGCCGCCACGAAGGGCGTGCTTTCAAGTAGCCCTCTGAGCCATAGAGCACTTAAGGGTGTGCACTTCCGATACGGCGAGGCTCATTAGGGAGATTTGGGCTACCAGAACACACACGCTGGATTGATTGCTCTCTAGCACCCTATTAGTCTACGTTCCGTGCTTCCCCATTCTACTATGGGGCTATTTGGCCAGTGGGGCTTCCATCCCACCCAACTATCACTCACCCATTGGGTGCGGTTTGGCTGGACAAACAACCTTTTAGGTTTGAGTGCTCAACTTGATTAGTGACCTGTCTTTGGCTACCTTAATTCAGACCCTATGGGTATCGAACCCAATACCATCCGACATCAGGTCAAGTGACTAATCACTTAATCCCAGGGTCGGTGGTGAATCCCAAAAAGCAGGCACTATCAGGCGCTAGTTGAGGATATTAAATCAATTTGGGGTCAAAGCTCATAACGCGTTCACTTTTGCGCAATGTATATTTTAAGGTGACACAACAGCTGTAATTCTAGTGTTGAAACCATCATTGTGGAGACGGGTGCAATAGAGTACATACCGTATTATGAAGCTCGTGCACATGGGAAGCTCAACAACTCCATAGATGGGATTTGGTGGGACATGTTGACTCATTATGGAGTATGCAGAAATGTAAGATTAAGGATCGTAAGGACAAATGGATTTTTCATCAGCTTAGACTTGATTTGTTGTCACATATGGGTCAACTTGCAGGAGTCGAGCAAAATTCGGCACTGAGTTTCATAATTCTGTGCAAGGTTCTGTTTCGTATTTCTTAAATTTTGACTCACCATCTCTCGCTTAATTAACCACAAGTCAGTGTTTCTGACAACGACTAAAATTACTGTAGCTGAACACGAAACGTGGTTGCGATCATAATGACTTGACCAGCAAACACCACATCATAAGTTGGTGTCTTTGATGAGTGGTTTTTGGAGACCTGTTGAAGTATTCGGCTTAATATTGCGGTAAATGGAACAGGGCTGCCGTATATCTTTAATTGGAGAGCTAAGCCCGCGTTTACAAAGCACAAAAGTTGGGCTCGTGTGTATTCTCCAGGAGAGACTTCAAAGTAACAGGTACTTAGTGCACGGTTCATGCTTGTATTTTAAGAGTGACAAATATTTTGAATTTGATTTGATTCATTAATTTCGATAACACATGTTTCACTACATTGGACAGTAAAAACGGTTTTTAATGCTCGTCGCGAGGCTTATAGACCATGTATCTCACGGATTTTATTTTGGAGACTCGACCATCATCATTAAGACCTTTTCTCTAGTATCTTTATC